TCAGAGAACAGGACCTCAGTGAGAATGCCTGTATAAAAGTTTAAATGAAATATAAAGAGTGAATAAAACTGTATAGATTTAAAGTTTATTGTAAAATGGTAATTTCACAGTGAAAAAGCACAACCACAAATATTGTCTGTGTGTAGAAAACATTGCGAGATTATTTCAGATTTAACAGTTTCGTCTACAATCTCAATCAGTTTCCAGCACAAAGCCCAAGTCTTGACAAAATCACCCTTTAAAGCAGAACTCATATTTAATTCATGTAAAACTTTAAATATGAGTCAACCAAACCAGTTTAAATCACTTGATTTAATTATTTTGTCATTTTTAAGCCAGTGCAATTATGTATAATGTATATAATAAGATCCTGTCTCTAAATGTCCAGTTTAAAATCAATGAAGCCAAATACGCGCTGCAGGCAAAATATATCACAATTAATCCAAGGTTCAAATAAATGATAAATATAACACTTTGTCCTGAAAAATATAATCTGTATGATTTAAAAAGTCATACAGAGATCCTTATTGCTCAGTAGCGTGTTGGATATCTGCTGCATTGAAAACTGAACAACAATGTGATTTCAGTTTAAAGATTTTCATAAAATATATAGCTATTGCCTGTTCTGTTTGTAAGAGGTAGCAACAAAAGAAAGTGTAAGTTTTAGCGTATTTATAATCTTTCTTGTTTATTTTTATATGATTGTAACAATGTTTTATTTATTTTTGTTTTGTTTTACTTCTTATGAAACTGGCCAAAGTACAGTATGTCGCACTCGAATAAAAACCATGTGTTTGGCACATATTTTAAAAAAGGGGCTTATTTTTAAACCATCCTCTAACTCGGTGGCATTTTGATCAGGGATCGACGCAGCCCCCTACTCATTTAAAAACATCCGCCTTGCGCGGTCACCAGATAAACTGGCCACCAGTAGATCCGACACACCGTAACAAGCCTCAAATGCAGACAGCAGCTTCACTAGTTCTCATTCAGGTAAATCCATCATCTTTCTAAAAATTGCTGCTAACCTGTAACTAAAGTCCAAAGTCGACGTGAATTAGGAGAAGACACCGACCTGATGTTTCCATCTGAACGTCAGAGCTAAAAGCAGAATCCATGTTTCTCCTCTTCTGCTGCTTCCAGTCGCTGTTTGAGCTGCTGTCTCTACATTTCCGGTAGCGTTTCTGTCTCCAGACCGTTCCGTAAAATGCTACAGTTCAATTTTAACCCGCCTTACGACCAAAACCAGGAGAAAAGCCTCCTGTCACCGCGACTGGACTAAAGAGAAGCTGGAGTCTGCGCACTGGGAGGAGAGGCCCCAACACACGTCAAAGGAACAAAAACCCGGAAGTTCCGCCTACACAGGGCTACGAGTCAGTCTGTCCGCCATATTGGTTGGGCAAAGGCGAGCTATGTAAACAACATTCGTAATCGAAAGTATTGCTGTTTTAACTGGTAGAAAAGTAACTGACCATGAAAATTTGATTTTAGACGTTTTTAATTTATTTTGCTGCAAAAATATTTTATTAATACTGATTTGAAATAAATAAAGGATCTGTTATTTTTGGCTTAAAATAAAAAAAGCTAAGCTGATCATGACAAAACGTGCAAATATGCAAATTTTAGAATCTAAAAGGAAAATTACAGTGCCATGCAAAACTATTAATACCCATTAAAACCTTCTTTTAACGCGTTTTTTTAGCTGATGTCAGTCTGAACTAACAGTTTGTACAGAAATAGGAACCAAATGTAAAATGAAAAGCAAAAAGACGCACCAGCAGTTTTATAATGTGTAAGGAAACTAGATTTAAAATATAAAATAAATTAATCAAAGTAGAAATGAGAGTAGCTTCAACTGCAGCATATCTGAGGAGCTCCTCACAACTGCAGCTTCTGTTTTTCATGGAACCAACATCCAGACGACCACATCGTTATTTCAGGTTGCTTCAGCCGTCCTTAAATCCACATGCTCTGTCGCCTGCCAGCAGCAGGAGAGCAGAGCTACATCTGAGCTGTGTTAGAGTACAACGGCTCTTCCTCGGATCGGTTCAGATCCGTCATTCGGACCGCGGCGTAGACAACATCGTTATTGGTTCCGCCTGACGCTCTGACAGGAGAATCAGAGCTTCTTTTAAAGAACTTCACTTCAGCGTAGGCGACTTTAGTGAAGTCGTCCACAGCCTGAGAAGTAAGAAACAGAAAACAAGTTTTATTTTGTGGTGTTGGGGTCGATCCGATCCAGTATCACTGTCGGAACCAAAACAGTCTCTGTGGTTTTAGGAAGTAATGTACAGTTTGTGTCCAGGATGTGTGGGATCTGCAGAGATGTTAGCTGCCCTTTTCCTGACCCTAGACCCAGTGGTGCAAAAAGTGGGTATGCAGCGCATGCAACGCATAGGGCCGCTGCACCAGAGGGGGCGGCGCGCCGATGATGCCCTCACATACACTTCACCGGATCCTTACGCTCCTTCACCTCGAGCACGGTTTTTGTGACGGTTTCCTTCAGGTCTTCTTGAGTCACTCACTGAGGCTGGATGGAGACGTGGAGCTTCCTGGACCGGAGCCGAAACTCTGTGTGCTTGTTGGTGTGGAGGAGGACGAGTCGACGGATGGAAAATTGATTTCAGTTTAGGTTTTCTTCTCACTTATGAAATTTATTTATGTCATTTCCTAATAAAAACCTGAATCTATGAACCAATATTCATATTTCTGTGCATCATAATCTGACATAAAGGCTTTGTGGACAGAAAGCAGCTTCAGATGAAAGTTTTTTTATTAAGACTCACCGTCTCTGACTGTGATGTTAAAGTCTCTGTATAAATATGATCCATCATTTCTCTCCAGGGAACATCGGTACCGTCCAGAGTCAGACTGGGTCAGCTGGGTGATGGACACATACAGAACTCCACTTTCATACAGAATGATGTATTTGCCACTATCAAATCTGCCTTCATTTGTCCCAATAAGAACTTCCCTCTGCAGAACTGTCCTCTTCCAGAGGAACCAGAGGATCCAAAGGAACAGGCGCCTGTCAGAGAGCTGCCAGCGTCTTTATAGAGGTGATGATCTTTGCTTCCATCCAGCAGAGCTGTTAGAATAATCATCAGTTACTTTCTGATCTCAGCATGATGCAGTCTGATACATTAACCCAGTTATAAATAAATACATAGAACTTAAAGCTCAGTTAACAACCGTGCTTCTATTTAAGGAACAAAGCATATTCCCATTCTGCTCTATTCATAAACTTCGTCCTAACTGGTTAAACTGGCTCACAAATGCAGTAAATCAGGTAAAATGTTCCTTTATTATTAAACTTCTGATGGCTGATCTATTAGCCGATACTGAATTAAATTAGTTCACAGATATTAAACTAAAATGAAGCTAATTTAACACAGTTAAATGCTTTAATCTCAAACTGAAATGAAACATTTCAGCTGCTTTGATAAAAACTCACCTTCTACAAGATGAAGTCTGAAATTACAGATTTCAGCTGATGATGAAGATTCACCCAGACCAAGTCTGTAAAGTCCAGAGTCGGACCGGGTCAGCTCTGAGATCATCCCAGACAGAAGAACAGGTGTAGAACATCCAACTCCGCATCGACCCGACTGAGCGTCCAGGCCTTGTGTTTGAACGCTTCCCGCTTCACATTTCTCCCTGCAGAAGAACCTCCATGCTCCATCCTTCCTACAGGAACATGTCACTAATGTTTCCTCCAGGAACTTGAAGATGTGAGTCGGTGCATCATCAGCTCTGCTGTTGTTGACCTGCAGAACAGATCATTGGTTAACAGCAGAACTTCCTGTCAGGTTCTGCAGTCTGAGCTCAGCATGTTCTGCTTTCCAGTTCACTGCAGACACAACTGAATCATTCTGGTTAGATCATTATTGTTACCATGGAAACTCAATGTAAATCAGCCTGGTTTGGTTTAACACACAACACAGATGTTAATCTACTGACTTATTACCAAACTAAAGACAGGAGGTTAAATAATAAAATAACTTTTTTAAAGAGTTTTAAAAGTTGCAGTTCAAGCACTGAAATAGAAACTTTAACTTGAACAGAATATATTTAATAATATCTGAAATTAAGAATCTTTACTTTCACCATCTGCAGAGGTCAGTTTAAGAAATAACTTATTCTGTGCCTGAACTTTATCCCTGATCCCAGTTTTAAGTCCATCCAGAACTCTGAAGGTTCTGTTCCCACGGGTCCAAAACAAGTGGAAGATCCTTCCTCAGAGGAAAAACTGGAAACTGTCAGGAAAGTTGAAATGTGGCAGAACTTAAACAGGCATAATTAATACTGAACTGAACAGGACAAAGCAGGAACAAAGAAAAGCCAGAAAGCTGGAAACGGGTGAGTGGTGAATGAGGTTAGACAGGTGAGTTTGATGGTTTAAAGACGCAATCAAAGAATTAAAAAGTACTCACAGAGGAAGAAGCAGCAGAACAAAGCCAGACGAACGCTCATGGTGAAGCTCTGACGTTCTGCTGGCTCTCTTCTGTTTCATCACTTCTATGACTGAAGATGCTCCTCCCTCCAACTCTTCCTGTTCCCTTCAGTTTCTCACCTGCAGCTTTACATCAACACATCTTCTCTCTCTGGAAAGGGCTCAGATGCTTAGAACATTTTTATTAAAAAGAAAATGATGAAAGGAACAGACTAACAATAGAATGGGTTTATTATAAAAACATAAATAAATTTACTAGTATTAACATCAGCAAAACACTACAGGCAACATCTGATCTCCCCTTCTGGACTTCTCTACAAACCCAGTCAAAGCGTCCTGCGAGGTGAAAGCATGACAGCAGCTGTGCTCCAAAAAACACGAGAAACATTAAAGATCCCAGATAAAGAGCAGCTTAAATAAACTTCCTTTATAGGTTGGCAGACATTTATCATCAGGAGGGAGTTCTGCTCATATTGTACTGGAAACACATTTAAAGCAAAGGGTTTGAATGTTAGAAATGGTTTCCCAGTAATAATAGCTCAACAGCTCAAAGTGAAGAGATTAAAATCATTTATTATTCTGAAATTTGGCAAATATAAAAAGCTCTAATCATCCTACTTGAAGAGAAAAGGTTTACTTTGATTCAATGTCAGGCAACGGAAATGAAGTCTTGTTTTTATAGTATAAATAAATTTTAACAAGTTGCACAAGAGTCCAACAAAGGAAGTTCTTTAATATTCTTACATGTACAGAACTTCTGATATGAAATACTTTTTCATATTCAGCTGATAATCACGCCACATGAAGTCCTCAGTTTGACAGTTATGACCATCCAGGCAGCAGAGCAAAACAAGTGTTTGTGTCCAGATATGAGGCACATAGAGGTTCCTCCAGACAGAAAAGCAGCTTTGAAAAAACAAACATTTCTACTAAAAGCAGACGACAGAATGACATCAAGGACATCGACTCAACTGCAAACATCTGACAGAAAAACGTTTGTCCCTCACAACACACCGACAAAAACAAAAGCTTAAGAAAATCACAATGCTCAAAAACATTTTTTTATATTTACGTCAATTTCATAGAAACAGATTTAAACAAAAAGCACCGGCATTCTTTTGAAGAAACCTTTGATTAGACGGCAGCAGGCATGGCGTTTTTATAAAGTCTGTTGCTCTGTAGAGAAAAGATGTGTGCTGTCATATCCCACATGTTTTTAGCAACCTATTGCATTGTAGAGTTTAAAGAATCGTGGTTCAAAACTAAAATGGCTGAACTTTAAAGCTTTAACAGCTGTGAACATTTAAATCTGAACACTTTCTCCATCCCTGTGGACGTTACTGTGTTTGATTAAATGTGACTTTAGGTTAAATCTTAGTCCACAGACATCACAGCCAAACAGTTTGGCTCCTGTGTGAAGGGTCATGTGTTTGTTTAAATGTGCCTTCTGGTTAAACCTTTGCCCACAAACGTCACAACCAAAAGGTTTGTCACCTGTGTGGATTCTCAAGTGTCTTTTTAAAGCCGACTTCTGGTTGAATCGCCGTCCACACACATCGCAGTCAAATGATTTTACCTCACAGTGGATCTTCATGTGTTTCTTTAAAGCAGACTTTTGTATTAAACGTTGTCCACAGATGTCACAAGCGAATGGTTTCTCTCCTGTGTGGGTTAGCTTGTGCAAGTTTAAATGTGACTTTAGGTTGAATCTCTGATCACAAACACCACATCTATATGGTTTCTCCCCTGTATGGACTCTTACATGTTTGCTTAAATATGACTTCAGGTTGAATCTTTGTCCACAGAAATCACAACCAAACGGTTTTCCTCCAGAGTGGATTTTGGCATGTTTGTTTAAGTTGGATTTTTGGTTAAATCTTTGTCCACAAACATCACAACCAAACGGTTTCTCTCCTGTATGAATCCTCATGTGTATGTGTAAATATGACTTCAGGTTAAATCTTTGTCCGCAAACATCACAACCGAAGGGTTTTCCTCCCGTGTGGATTCTCATGTGCTTGTTTAAGTTAGAATTCTGGTTGAATCTTTGTCCACAAACATCACAGCCGAACGGTTTCTCTCCTGTGTGGATTCTCTTGTGCCTGCTTAGATGATTTTTCCAACTGAAACTTTTACCACAGTCGTCACAGGTGAATAATTTGACATCACTCTGGACTTTCCCTGGACTTAGTGTGTTAGCATTTTTCTTCCCTTTAGTACTTTTAGCTGCCCGGCGTGAAGACCTTCCTGTTGAATGATGGGTCCTGTGTCTCTGCAGAGAGCGCTCGTTAACAAACCGTTTACCGCACTCAGAGCAACTCAATGAACTGACGGCGTTTCCTCCTGACTCTCTGCCCTCCTTCCAGTCAGTCTCACTGTCCTCAGTTCCAGATCCAGAGTCTGACATGCGCTGATGCTGGGAGTCAGGATGGCTCGCTTCATCACTTTCACCACCAACATCATCACTGTCATCACCACCATTATCACCAAATTCAGAGTCACTATCACCATCATCCTCCTCTTCATCCTCACTGACCTCTGTCTCTGAAGAGCTGGAAGTGTCTCCATCAGTGTGTAGGTCTGGGTTCCTGCTGGACTCTGCTGCTCCACCGTCCTCTTCTTCATCTTCTGCTTTCATCAGGTCAGCTGAGCTGCTGGTTGGAAGATCTCCGTCTCCTGGCTGATGGAGGTGTGAGAACAGAGGTTTCTCTTCATGCTCACTTTTCACAAGAACGACATTTAGTGGAAATGGATCCGTCTGCTTCTCACTGAGGTGCTCTCCCTCCAGGCCGGTCCAAGGTTCCTCCTCTTCCTGCTTGATGTGAAGCAGCTTTAGATCCTGATGGTCCACACCTGGAATCTGTTCTTCACGAGTGTCCTGAGGAGAATGTAGATCTGGGTTCCTGCTGGATTCCTCTTCATCGGTCTCCATCTTGTCATCTGAGCTGCTGGCTGGAAGACACCGGCCTTCTGTTTGGTTCTGATGAAGCTGTGAGAACTGAGATTCATCATCCGGTTCCTCCTTGATGCGGAGAGCTTCTGGTTTCTGCTGGTCCACAGCAGGACTCAGCTCTTCAACATCCTCTTCTAGAGCAACCACAATCTGCGGAACATCTGGGAGCAACACCAAAACACATCATGTTCATTACAGACAACTGCAACTCGTCAACATTTCAGTTAATTACAAGTTAATTAGTGAAGCCAAGACCCCTCTGGTTTAGAGAAGATGGAACTGGTGCAGCAGTGCTTTCTATGTGAAAGCAGAGCAAAGACTTCGTACCTGGGTAGAGAACATTTTGTTAGTCACAGTCTATGAGAGACACTGAGGCAAATGTAGAAGGACGAGGCTGAGCGTATCAGAGAACATTAAAGACGACCTGGAGAGTTTCTGAGAAAACGAAAAGGCAGAACGTCATCGATTTTTGATTCAGAAATTATTACACACTGAGGAGGAAGAAAGCACTTTGTCCTTAAAATTAATCCTAATCAAAAACAGGATTCAGTCTTGCTAAACGAGGTCTAGCTTTCCTAATTTAATAAATTACCAGTTTTCATTAGGAAAGCAGCTGTGATGATTTGATACTCAAAATTTTTAATCAAGTTAATTTCAGGGTCTGAAATTAATTAAAATGATTGGATTTTAATAAACAATCATATTAACAAATAAGCAACAATTTCAATTTAAAAACTATTTGGTGCTCAGTTATTAATCAAAATATCAGCTCAACAACAAAGATATTCATAGTTTTTCAACCATCATATTGGAGCAAAGTGTTTTTCTATCTGTTCACCTTTCCACAGTTTCTCTGGTCGTTCATGGAGCTTCTTTAGAAATGCAGCTGCTGAAATCAGATTTGCTGCTACATGTTTAGCATTGAGATGCTACTGTAGGCTTGGACAGCTTCACTGACAGATGAGTTTCTGGAGCAGAAATTAAACCCCAGAGAGCCGAGAGAAACGCCTGCTGCCCAGCGCCGTTTGAAAATGTGCGTCAGATTTATGGGCGTACCAGAAACGACAATGCAAAGTTCTGGCTCTCTAAGTTTAAAAAAAAAATGACATGCAATAAATTGCGCTAAAATTTTTAACACTAAAATCCATGTAATTAGTTGAAATTACAACATTTGCTTCTTACTCTGGCCCCTGCTGGCTTGTGACTTTAATGGCTGCTGCGTGCTGGAAGCTGGTGCGACGAACAGCACGCCGTACTGACGAGGGTCGCTCTGTGTCGCGGCAGTGAGACGAGGGAGACCACGCCCCGATGCCACCCGCTTCCCTACAATGGCCCTCTGAAGCTGTGGGATGTAGCGGTAGTCCTTTTCCTCCTTTATAGCATACAAACACCACTTTCTGGATTTCTTGTTATAAAGTTTGCGATATCTGAAGTTAGATGTTAGACAAACAATAAAAACAGATGAAAATATTTATATCCAGAGTCTTTCTTGATAAGGCAGAGAACAAATAAAAGTACTGCATACTGTATGGAGCCGTCGGGTTTTCTCCTGGGCGGTCTGTGAACGTGGTGGTTGTAATCCAGGCCAGCCAGGAAGATCCGGGCTTCATAGACCGGACGGCTGAAGCTGAAGCGTTTGCTGGCATACATCAGGATGTGGTTATGGAAAGATTCCAGCTCAGCTGTTGACCTACAAGTTCAATGAGACCCGTCAGATCACATCAGCTTTTTCTGCAGCACCATAAATGTAGAAACACGGAATAATTAAACACATTCATACCTGAAGTGTAAGTACTTGTGTACTTCCTTAAGCCAGCGTTGATTCAGAATAACTTCCGATAAGGCCCGATGGGCCACGGACCCGTTTTCTATCCATGCCTTGTCTCTGCGTTCCCCAGACGGACGCTGGCCGGCGTCCAGGGGCCACTCGTGCTCTCCTGTTACATGGTTAAGGAGGCCAGCCCACATGTCCTAAATTAGAAAATAAACGTAACAGTTTAAACTTACATTGATCAAATATACTATTGGTATAGTGGTTGCATTTTTTTCACCCTTGATATCACAGTTATCAATGTGCAGGAATGAATACCAACCTCTAAACTGGTTTTATTTACCCCACATAGCAACAACAACTCAAAGCTGAAGTGCTAGAAAAATGACATCCAGGATGTTTGGGTGCGACTCACATAAAAGTTATCAAAGTTTTCAGTCATCTTGCAGCAGAACCAGAAATAATTGCAGATATCTTTGATCCACTGCAGCAGGATGGAGCAACCCTTTTGCTGCCCTGCCTTAATAAACACAAATAAAGAAATAAAATGAAATATTGGAGAAAAATTTACAAGTTTGACATTTTTGATTTCTTAATTTTAATCACAAGAAAACTTACTGCATGCATCTTCTTGGCCAAGTTTTTGGAACCATGCCACATGTCCAGAGTGTGCAGCACGCCGCTGTCCTTATACTTTCCTTTGACTGGGTCTTTCAAATAAAGAACAGAAATGCAATTAGGAATACTGCTGCACTGACAAATAAAATCCTAAGAGGTCAAGCATTTATTACTGAGCACAACAGAATAAGAGATAAACCCACTAGCTTAGAAAAGAAAAGAAATAAAACTGTATGAATATTGTCCGCGCTCGTCTATGAGCCAAATCATAATGAGATGTTTACAGACTTTTTTTTTTATTTCTAATGAAATAAGTCACTGTAACATACACAAATACGTACCATAAATGCTTTTTAAAGCCATGTCTGTAACACAACTGCTTATTAAATACATACATCAGCCTATGAAAGTCATTAATCACCATCTTTATTTTCCTCCTCTGCACCAAAACCACTTCAGTCTTCTTCAGTGTCAGAATTACTTCCTTGACCCGTTTGTTTCGCTCTCTGTAGCTGAGTTTCCACTGACTATAAAATTGTGCAAATCAAAATTGTGTAATTGATTCACGCCACTTTTGGAAAAAAAAAGAAATCCCTAAACCCTTACAGTATAACGCTGTAGGACTTTAGACTACAGGACTTTAATATAAAACTAGGTTTACAGCTGACGCATTAAACCGGTCATGAGGAGGCTCCAAACATTCGTCTCACTCTGCAGTTTGTGCTGTCCTGTTCATCACGCAGCAGTCCAGCCTTTTGAAATCTGTTGCACCATGAAAATGTTCAAAGCGTGAGAAAAACAAAGCGGCTTGTGGTCTGGACTTACCAAATAGAGCTGATATCTGTGACTGAGAATCTGTGCAAACTTCAGTGAGTTTAACCTCCTGGTGGATCTGCTCAAAGCTCCTGATGAAGCCTTCCCTCTCCATCGCCACACAACTCCTCTGTGTCTCTCCCTTGTCAATGTTGACTATTGATAGGATTTCTTTGGTTTCATTCTCCATGATGGTGTAGGTGCAGAACTGAGCAGACGACCCAGGACTGTCCATATGACCATCAGCTTCAGAAAGTACCAAATGCACAAGAAAAAGATTTCTCATCAAAGCAGGAGAAACAGAGTTGCATGTGAACATTGCCTGTCGTTCTGTAACTGACCATTAGACTCACCAAGTACAACAACATTTTCCTTTGACTTCAGCCTGGACACGACGTCAGCTCTGCTGCTGTCCCAAAAGTCCTTGATGGTTCCAACACAGTAGGTGTCCTGTATTTTCAAGAAGGTTGACCAATCCACTATTCCCAACTTCATAAACTTGAAAAGCAATGCAACTTTGGCATAGTAGTTGCCAGACAGGATGATATTTGATGCCAAAAGGAAGTCGCCAGCTTGCATCCCGTCTTTGAAAGTGGGCTGGGAGTTCCACTCCCACACACAGTGATTGTTAGGACACATCTGGAAAACAGGTTTAAAAACATTTAGCATTACTTTCCAACCATCACAGCAATGATACATCAGACAGCAACACTTCCTCTAGGGGGAGATTTTAGGGTTTGTAGATTGTTTTGGTGATTATCAAATGGTCAATACTTGCATATGAAACTCATCTTATCCACTGATTTTTTTCTACCAACAATAGTCGTCCTACTATTGTCAACTCTGAAACTTTTTTAGCTATACTTAGTTCAGAAATAAATCGGTAAAGGCTAAAATCAGATATGCTTTTTAAATATCTGTGATTGGCCAGAAAACTGCATTCGGTGGACCCCTACTTTCTTTTAATAGCAGTCATTGGAGTAATGAGCATTAATACAAATAAAATATATTTAACAGCTATTAGAAAAGTACTTTAACACGTCTCAGGCATTAAGATTTTCTGCTCTGTTGTATTTATTTAGAAATAGCATATTTGTAAGCAATAATATTGCAGTAATTTAGTAATTGTGATGTTATTTCAGTCATTTATTTAGGTGATATTTAGTGATCTGAATATTATGTGTGTTCACCCGTGTGTGAATGCAGCTGACTCAGCACCTGGGAGCCTCACAAATACGGAGTCTCAGCTTTTGCCAACTTTGGTGTTGGTGCTTTTGAAAGCCCACAATCTGCTGGCGCTAGCCGAGCTAGCGGTGTGGCCTGGGGGGTCCATCGTGACCCATGGCTACAGACCGAGTTTGAGAGAGTGCTACAAGTAGACAAGCGACTGCATACAGACGGAAAAAGCTCACAAGGATCCTGCTGTGCTTAGGCTAATAAAGTCAATAATATTAACTGTGAACACCTGCAATTCCTACATGCTGTGATCTTCTTGGTGCGGCAGGCGCTCTCGTTGGCAGGGCGCCCCCTTGGGGAAACACTGGAGTAGTAAATGAACATACCCACTGCATGATGACAGCTGTTCCTCTGGACTTGATCTGGACTTGGAATGGTCCAGTTGCCTGACACTCAGCCAGTGTCACCGGGTCTTTAGCCGTACACACTGGGATGGGCAGCAGCAGATACCGAGCGAGTTGCATCAGACAGACATGGTAGGTGATGGCTGCCGGATGATTGGTGATGTCATCCTCACTCTGGACCGGTTGGGACTCGGCTGACTCTGTGACCAGAGTGTCATGAACTGTGTCCTCCATGCCGACGGCCGGAAGAGCATCCAGAGGTAACTTCTGTTCACCGGCACCAGCGGCGCTGATTGAATACAAAAAAACAATGAGAAAGGAAAATTATTGTCATAAAAAATTACTTTTAGTTAGGAACTCACCGAACGCATACAGGGGGCATGTAATCCTCCTCCTCTTCATCATCAGTGTCGTCATGGTAACTGCCTTCCCCCATGCTATTCTCTCCCTCTGAAGCTGAAACGTCTCCAGTGTCGTCCTGCGGAGCCCGGGTCCAGTCCCCAGCCCAGTCGATGCTATGAACCAAAAATATTAATCTGATACCAAAACGTCACAATTCAGGTTAAACATGTATAAATGATACTTACACACAGTTCTGAATGTGATTGAAGTCACTTTCATTGATGTCATCATGAGTGTCCAGCGATGAAATGCTAACAGCAAGAAGATGTAGAAATAAAAATGGCATATAATCTCACCTGCCGGGGTTTTGTCTCTCTGCCTTTAGTAACTTGAAGACATTCTGTGCTTCGTCTCCCAACATTACCTACATTTTATGCCAAATTATTTTCCTCAATGCAGAGCAAATTCTGACCATCTAAATTTACAAAAAAATATCCACAACTTTGCTCCTTATTTCTTTTTAATTGTAGTCTACGGTGCCAATGCAAACATTATTATACATCTCTGTCACTGTATGCAGCAACTAAGATTATAAAATCTAGATTTGCAGGATTTAACTAAATAATTTCAGGTCCTGGTCTCTGTAGAAAATAAAATACTTGAGGTTAAACCATTAACAGATTTTTCTTCACAAATTAAAATCTTCTTTAAATGATAGGCTCCGATTTTCAATTCACTTTTATAATTGTAGAATAAGACATACATTATAATCTGTCACCATGACTACTGCTCAGGCCCAATATTTTCTCACCAATCTGATGATGAGCTGCGGACAGAACAGGACAGGGCGGTCCGATGGCTGGTTGTAGCTGAAGAAGTCAAAGCACCAACTTCACATCTACAATAAACCACACCGTACAAAATCTGTTTGGAAGCTATAGACAACCTTCACCATGATATACACTCACCTTATAAAAAGATGATCTACAGGCAGCAGAGTATTATGTCAAACATGAGGACATTCATCAGAAGAAAAAAAAACTCTCAAACATTCGGACAAACACTAAACATTTGGATTACAAACAGCCAACACAACAAGCTAGCTGCTAATGTTGTAAGCAGTTCTCATATTTTATTTACTTTTTGTAAATACTTCATTATATCAGGATAATACACACAAAGTAATTTCACTATTGATATCATTCTGATTGAAACAATATGTTGGGGTGAAAGAGTTGGCAGTGATCGCTAACATTACTCCCATGCTGCCAGGTAACAAGCTAACTGTTAGCAACAAGCTACAGAGTGAAAAGAGAATGGTGATAATGTAACTGTCGTAGTTGTGATGTTATTACACAATAAAGCAAATCCAGCAGAGATACCTACTTGTCTAGCAGAAACGTGGCTAACTCTGCATCGGATTTGAAGCGTTTCAGGTAGAGTAGCTCCCTCCACCTCAGAAAAGCCGCTCCGATGTTTATCCTCGTTTTATTCCGGGCTCGGTCCAGTTCTTTCTTTTGAGCTTGCTTTTCATCTTTGGACTTCTTCCGCCTACCTCTCCTCATTTGTTGAGCAGGTGCCGCCACTCGAGGAATTGGCAGTTTTCCTGCAACGTTAGGTTCCCTCTCCGCCATTAGCACAGCTGCAGCACACCAGCAGTCTTGAGCTTGAGTGATGGAAAACGCTGAGCAGAGGAAGGTTGTTGGGCAGCACGTACAGGAGCTTGATTGACTGCTGAGACACCCCTCCTGGCTCTTACTAGTGGTATATTTCTGGAAATAGTAGCAAGATCACTGGGATGAGCCAAGGGAGCTTGATTTTTTAATAGATCATCTGTCTCATTCTACTGTCAGCATTTTTTGACATTTTTAACAAATTACCTAAAAAATATATATATATTTTAAAGTTGCCTCTTGCAACTTTAAGTTATTAGCAGCAATAGATCAACTGTTGTTCCCAAAGCTGCCTCAGCTAAAAAGAAACTCAGAACCAGGCATAGCATATATAAAGACAAGAAAGAGAGAATATACAGCGATTAGTGATGTCATACACATCACTAGTGACGTCAGGAGCGGCCATGTTGAAACGCGAAGTCGAAGTTGCTCCCACATTCCCAGTGGAGAAAGTGATTTTTCCAACTGGGAAATTTTCTAGTTCCAAGTAGAACTGGGACGCACCATTAGCGTTGAGCTGGTGCATTTCATACTTCACGGTTAAACGTTAGTCATTGAGTGAAAATAAAACTTAAACAGAGTCTACGTCTCCATCAAACAATCATTTACCAATAGCTAGGGGTCCAGATCCTCTGGACGAAGAACAAGGAGAACAAGGGGCTGGTAGCTCTGCGACATTAATAAGAATAATTTAATAAATTCTAAACTGTTGCTGCCATCCAAACAGCTGATATAATGAAGTAAAACATACTAACCTAATCTGTCCATCTGAATCTTGAAAGCAGCATCCATGTTTCTGTGTTCCTCTTGCTCTGGTGCCTCCAGTCACCGTTTGAACTCCTATCGCTACATCTCTGGTAGCTTTTCTGTCTCCAGGCCATCATTTAACTGTTACTGAACAGCTAGGGCTCGGTTTTAATGTAATTAAATAAACAAAAACCAAAGAAAACACGGCGGACGAGGCTGCAACTACAGCCGTTCTGCTAAACAGAATTTGGCGCCTGCGCACTGGCGACTAGGGGCTGAACCCGGAAGTCCCGCCCAGAATCTTCTGAGGGAGTTGAATCCGCATGCGCATCAGGGACTTATGTCAAGAGCGACGCCATATTGTAAGTGGCATTTTGTTTCGAATATATAGCTGATCAATTTTTTATAAATATATATATTTTTAAAAGAAAACCATTCAGCCATGTCAAATAGTATGTCAGTATTTTTTGCTTTCTTGTTTCATTCCACAGTACAATGGAATTCAATTCAGTTTAATTCAAATATATTAATACAAATGAAAATTAAATGTTGTAACTCACATTATCAATTTGTTCAAAGAGTTATTGTAGATGCCAATGGCTATGGGGAATGGTGGGCAGAAAGGCTCTCTAGCAGACAGTATTACAGCAATTCTGAAGAATCTTCTGGCTAAACACACTCAGCTGTTGTATGAGAGTCTCCAAAGAGGATCTTCAAGGTTGTCTGTAATTTTATTGATTTCATGAATAATCCTTTGCACCTTCATCTCCAGATATTCCAGAGCAGAACCCAGAACAGAACCAGCCTTCTTCTTTCTCCTCTCGCCTCTCATGATGTCTCAGTGCACCACAGATATTCTCTGACTAGAGATATATTCTCTAGATTAGAAATTTTGGGGTCTGTGTAATAATCATCTGTGAAAGCAGACTTGACCTTTACTTACTCTCCTGTTTTCCCGCTTCACAAGATACCAAACCCATCAGTCCATCCTATGTGGAGGTCCAGGGCTGAATTTCAGCTGGATAAATAATTTTATGCCTTGAAATTAAATATTATTTACTTGTTTTTAATGTTTCTGTGGATAGTTTATTCAGATGGAAAACTATGTTATTTTTTCATAAAGTGCCTACAAGAGACCAACGACTAGCTAAACACAGGGATGCAAACAACTGATCTACTTACGATTGTCGATCAATGTTTTATTAGATTTAAATTAGTTCCATTTGATTAACAACATCCGCTTAGACCACAGGTGTCAAATTCCAGTCCTGGAGGGTCACTGCCCTGCAACTTTTAGATGTGCCTCTGTTGCACCACCTGAATAGAATAATTAGGTCGTTAGCAAGGCTCAGGAGAACTGATCTATACACAGAGGAGGAAATTAAGCCATTTCATTCCAGTGTTTTGTACCTGTGGCACATCTAAAAACTGCAGGACTGCAGCCCTTGAGGACCCCTGACAGACTTTTTTCAGTGTTGTAGTTTAGCCTCCATCCAGCAGAGGGCCATAATGATCATCCTTAAGCAGAGTCAGTTGATACAGAAATAAAGATGGTGTGGGCATACCAGAATAGCAAATAGAAATGGTCCAAACAGAGTCCAATCTGGGCTGCAATATGTACTTTATACAGTTCTGTTCATAAATATAAACAACAAACTTCTTAAGTTATTAATGACATTCCTTCAGCCAAGCTGCATGGCAGAGCAGCATCAGTGTCAACTTCTCAGCCAAAAACATCTTGTGCTACGAAGGCGAGGATATGATGACTAAAAAGCAAAGAAGATAACTGAGAAACATTGTAACATGGAATAAAAAGAAATGATGCCAATAAGCACAGTTGACTTTGCAGACTTTTGTTAGTTTATGGAGCAAAGTTTTAATATTTAATAGTAAAACTTTATATTTAAGATAACACAAATTGCTACAGCTAACACCATTAGCAGGAGCTAAAGCAAAAATCATTCATTCATCCATTCATCCGTAATGAATGGATGTCTAAAGTTACAATTAAGCCTCTTTAAGTTTTTGTAACATCACTTTAATATATCTGAGAAAATGTTTTAATCCTGATGTGAGCCAATAATTTAAATATAAATTCAATTTAGCCATATTTAAATTTATGAAAACTAAGCCTACTGTATTTTATTTTTAACATTTGAAATGAATGTTACTCAAATAAAATCTATTGATACAATTAATCATGGATGCTTTTATAACAACTTAAATAAACTAATTGAAACAAAGAGCTTATCACAATAGTAATATTATTAAACACTGCAAGTTAAAATGTTCATGGTTCATAGAAAACCAAAGATTTTACAGTCCTTCAGGTAGGAACTCTTTTACTGCCTGATTATTCCCCTCCTGTGTGAATTCTCATGTGTCGGTTAAAATGGGACGTCTGGGTAAATGTTTCTCCACAAACAACACAGCCAAATGGTTTCTCTCCAGTGTGGATCCTGCTGTGCGCATTTAAATTAGACAACTGGCGAAATCTCTGACCACAGACATCACAACCAAAAGGTTTTTCTCCTGTGTGGATTCTCATGTGCGTTTTTAAACTTCCCTTTAGGCTGAATTTTTTCCCACAGGCGTAACAACCAAATGGCTTCTCTCCTGTGTGGATCCTGATGTGTTTCTTTAAGGTCGACTTATCACTGAATCTTTGTCCACAGGAATCACAACCAAACGGTTTGTCTCCTGTGTGGATTCTCATATGTCTGTTTAAACTCGTCTTGTCACTAAAGCGTTGTCCACAAACGTCACAACCTAAAGGTTTGTCCCCCGTGTGAATCCTCATGTGTTTGTTTAAATGGGACTTATCACTGAATCTTTGTTCACAAACATCACAACTGAACGGTTTCTCTCCTGTGTGAATCCTGGTGTGAATGTTTAAATGGGACTTTTGGCTGAATCTTCTGCCACAGATGTCACAACCAAACGGTTTCTCTCCAGAGTGGATTCTCATGTGAACGTTTATGTTGTTTTTCCAGTTAAAACTTTTACCACAGTCATCACAGGTAAAACATTTAACCCCTGTCTGGATGTTCCTCAGCGACTCAACAGTTTTCTTCTCTGTAACACTTTTCTTGCCACCCAAACAGCCTGCAGGTCTTGCTTTTGAAGGACAGGTTGTGTGTCTCTGAAGTGAGGACTTGTTGAACTGTTGACTGCACTTGGAGCAGCTCAGCGACTTGTTGGCGGCGTTTCCTCCTGACTCTGCAGCTCTAGTTTCCTTCCAGTCGTTCTCACTGTCCTCGGTTTCAGAGCCGGAGTCTGGTGGGTGTTTCAGATGAGAACCAGGATGGTTCACATCCTCCTCCTCTTCATCCTCACTGACCTCTGTCTCTGAAGAGCAGGAAGTGTCTCCATCAGTGTGTAGGTCTGGGTTCCTGCTGGACTCTGCTGCTCCACCGTCCTCTTCATCTGCTTTCATCTGGCCAGCTGAGCTGCTGGTTGGAAGATCTCCGTCTTTTGGCTGATGAAGCTGCGAGAACAGAGGTTTATCTTCATCATCCTCACTCTTCATAAGAACCACAGTGAGTGGAAACCTGGTAGGATCGGACTCCTCCTTCACACTGAGCTCTTCATCCTCTGGGCTGCTCCAGATTTCCTCCTCTTCCTCCTTGATGTGAAGACGCTCTGCGTCCTGCTGGTCTCCACCAGGACTCGGCTCTTCATTAGCCTCTTCTTTAACCAGCAGCCTCTCCTGAACATCTACAGGAAACACAGGAACAATGTGAAAAAGTTCAGTAAACAGAATTAAAAACTGAAGGACTAAACTAAGACTTCAAACTAAAACCAGTAGCTGAGTAAATTTATTTATACAGCAAATTTCAAGACATTCATTAAAAAAATCTGCTCAGAAGTAAGAGAATTAAACATTAGCTTGTCCAAGTTGTTAATAGTTGGGTTGCAACTAATGATTATTGAATAATTGATTTTTCTATTTATTATTCTGACAATTAATTGGATAACAGAGTTGGCACATTTTTGCAGATTTTAATTTAACCATTTAAGATGTTTTTATATGTCAGAAATAGATTTAAATGCAAATTAAATTCTTAAATAACAAGATAAGCATTTTATTCCCTAAAATACAATAAAAACTTCCTTCTAACATCAACATGTGAACAGCTCAGTCTTTTCTGCTCAACTAAACATCAATGCAGTGTAGGGATGATTCCACCTGAGGAGTTCATATTTACAGAAATATGTTCCGATTTAAATGCATAAATGTATATATATACAAACATCTATAGATATAGAGATCAATATATGTTTTAACTATTTTGATGAATCAAGGAGGTAAAAGCTTATATTATATAAATACACAAATTAGTTTAATTTAGATCCCTGATCCCCATTGCCTTACAACGCAATGGATTTTATGCCTTTGGTTCTGATGCATCATAATTTTGCCAGTTTACTGTAAATTATGCCAGATTATAAGCAGAAGGTAAACCTCCGTCATCCTGATGTAAGATACTGTTTACTGGACTCAGATGACCGCATTTCCCTCCAGCAGCCTACAAACAGATTCTAGAAAATGACTGTAAATCATCGGTTGTCAAAGCGGGAAGGAAACGTCCTTCTATCGGGCTCCAAGTGACACATGGTCGGATCAAAATGTTCATTTCAACCCCCAACTATCGGGAGTTCGAAACAAACATCCCGCTAAGATACAAAACAAAGGCTTCACCAGGTCATACTAACTCAGCATCTCCAACAGACCCAAACAGCTGGTATGAAAACAGACAAACCTGATCTGTGCGGCTGGACCAAGAGGCTGAAAGCGGCGTCCATGTCTCTGTGCCTGTCTTCTTCTGCAGCATCCCGTCCCTGTTGGACCTGCTGTCCCCACATCTCCGGCGGTTCCCCCCTCCAGACGCTCCGCTGACTGCGGCTCCGCAGCTCCAGCTCAGCTTTAACCCGCCTGAATTCCTCCAGGCTTCACCGACTGCTGCTGCTGCTCCCTAAAAGCTCTATTAACGCTCCCAGAACCGAACCAGAACCGAAGAAAATACACCGACTGACAGGCTGAGTCCCCTATACTGATGAGAAGCTGGAGTCTGCGCACTAGAGCCCGCAGACCGAGAAACCCGGAAGTCCCGCCTTCATCAATCATAATAGCGTTCAGCGGATCCGCCATGTTGTAAGTGGCAAGTTCTCATTTAATTTAACAATATTTATAAAGAGCTTTCTCATCTCTCCTTAAAATTATGTTCAACTAATTGCACTAAAAAGTAGAATAGAATAGAATAGAATAGAATAAAAGAGTAGAATAAAATAGATCAATCAATCAATCAATCAATCAATCAATCAATCAATCAATCAAATCTTTATTCCAGACAAAAAAAGGTCCATAGAAAAGAAGGTAAAAAACAAACAAAATAAGAGAAAAATTAAAAATAAACATGACATATTATTCACCGAGTCACAAATAAATGATTACGCCAATTATTCCACAATAAATAATAAACACTATAGAATAAAAGCTTTATTAATTTATGATCAGGAAGTGAAAACATGATACTTTGGCATCATAAAATACAGACAATTTAAATCAACTTATTAACAAACAACAAATAATAATAATCAAGAGCCACAATCTTCATCAGAACACTCAGATAGTGTAAAAAACAGAAACAACAATCTTTGTTAATTTCAGTCCAATGATTGTCACCAGCAGTGGTCTGAAAATTAAATGTCTTTTTTTTATATATAAATTTTTGCTTCATGTTGTAAAGTAAAAAATGAAATAACTTAAACTCCTCTTGTGTGTTACCAAAGACCTAAAACCTAAACATATGATTGGTCAACTCCTGCACAGAACCGCAGCAGCAGAGAAATCACCCTTTCTATTCTATTTTTGGCCTCGCTGAGTCTCCTGTAGAGACTCATTACTGAGTGGTCTGTAAAACATGCACAGATGGTCTGGACATGCTTGACAGACCTCTTCCCATATTTAGCTGTAAGATAACAAGAAGACCAAATACTAACACCAACTCCTTCGTAGAAGCTGTCAGGTCATCCAGCACCGTTCTGTTCTGTACTCGGTTTTAACTTCTTCTACGAAAGCTGCAGCATCATCAGGTGATTTGAAACCATAACTTATGGTTATAATTTTCCCTACTCCTACATATGGTGATGGTGTTATTGCACACACACTGTCCAACCTAACAGCTCCTAAGGATATGCAAAAACTCAATGACAGAAGAAAAACTAACTTTTCTCAAAATTTAAACTCAATTGTTTTTCTGCTGCAAAATTTTAATTCAAGCAAGTCAGCAATTCATTTTAATAAGAAACCAGCTATAAAGATATTCAAACTTTAAAAAAATCTATTCTGCGATTATAAAGCAGTGGAAGCACATACAGAGTAAAGACTGAGGCTCAGTTTCTAAATCCAATTTTCTTCAGGTTTCAGCTTCACTGAACAAACTGCAACCCTGAGATCCAGAACTGGAGGTCCAGAACCGGAGGTCCAGAACTGGAGGTCCAGAACCGGAGGTCCAGAACCGGAGGTCCAGGGTCTCATCTGGGCTGTGAGAGTGTAGAGTAGATCTGGTTCTGGTCTCTGGTGGCAGGACTGAGACTCTGGTAGGTTGAGTCATGTGAGGAAACGTTATCATAGTCGATGTTCTGAAAGAAGAAATGATAGTTGAAAGCATTATAGAGCAAAATAGTTTGTTCCAGTTTAAGGCATTTTTACAATAATCTAGTCTCAGGTTGTAAGATTTTATTGAAATGAAACTATTAATTTGTACAACCTTCTGCAAACTGTCTCTTCTCACAGCTTTATATTATTTTTCACTCTAATCAAAGAGAAGAAAATCACCTCCATCTTTACTCCATCATCTCCTCTCCTCCTTGAATCTGTGAAACAAAAAGTTTTATTAGGAGAAAATGTCTGAAGTCCAGAGAAGATTGAAGAAAAACATGAAATCATCAGACGGATTCAACAACAAAACTTAACACATTATAAATATGGATGATCATTTGAAAACAGTAAAGTAATAATTATAAATTACTTTGACATCAGAGTGTTTAAAGTTTTCCTCCATGAATAAATTTTCAGTGATTTTAAGGTTTTTCTACGTCTTTATCAGACAATAACTGTGGAAGAAGATTTAATTTCAAATGAACCACAGGTGATATTTACCAGTCTGTCATTATTTTATATAATTAAACCAGGTTGTCGCAAAATAGAATTTACTTAATTTAAAATTAGTCTCAGTTTGGTTTAGTCCGTCGGCTTCCTGTGGTTCCTTTAACTGAGTGCTGGTGTTAGTTGGTGTCTCACCTCTCAGAGATCGTCTCCTGCAGGAAACCAGCAGAGCTGCTGAGACCAGAACCACCATGGCAGCCAGAGTCACACCAACGATCACAGGAACATCTGCAGAGGGACAACAAGCTGGTTCACACTGACACCTGCTGGTGGATCACGGTACAGGTTCAACAGGGGGTATAGACTCATAATGAATTAGTGTTTGTGAAGTTTCTCTGTAGAAATGTTTCATCCGGATCAAAGCTGTCTGACACTAACATGAAAACACAGCTTTGTTCTGATGTTTTTAAAGAAATTAATCATTTTTAAGTTTCTTTCTGAACATTAAAACGTCTGTAGAAAATTATTTTCACTTCAAAAGATAAACAAACATCCAGATGCTGCATCAGCTCAGAAGGTAAACAGGAGATTCATAGATATTATTTATCACTCACAGAGACTGGAAGGGAGCTGAGATGCTGCAGGAGTGAAACTTGCTGTTGGAGTGGAGGCTGATGAGACGACTGCTGGAAAATAACCAAACAAGACTCAAGATTGGTGCTGAACAAATCTGCATAGTAAAAACTCAGATGGGTTTAAGATATGACATGAGGTCATGTACACATTACCACCATTACAATATTAGGGACATTTTAACACCAGTAAAAACTCACCAGT